TAGTAGTAACAGGTGCCCTACTAGTAGTAACAAGAAGCTAGTAGAAACAAGTGCCTTACTAGTCGTAACAGGTGCCTTACTAGTAGTAACAAGAAACCTCTTTGGATTGACTGGCGCCTGCAGTGGCACAAGCCTTCACCGCCAGGTTTGCAGCTCGAAGGCCGAGAGAGTCTGTACCTAAGCCAACCGACGCCTCGCTCACCATCACCTCCACCAGTTCCTGCAGGTCGCTGTCTGACCTCGAGGTGTGTCGATGTTGATACGACGGTCGCTGTGAATTCTTCGATGCTCCGCCCTTCGCGTTGCTTCGGTGGTTTGCTCGGTGCTCAGGTTTCTGGTGATCCAGACCTCCTAGGTCGCCTGTCCTGGGCCCTTGACGTTGGGAGCAAAATGGAGAAAATCACTTAACGTGGCTGGAATGTAGGCTTGGTGGGATAAGCAAAATTACATCTAACAAATATATGCAAAAGTCTTCTATACTTCTGAACCCTTTGTTTCCTATTTCTCTGTCTTTGATTTGATTACGCTAAGTTACAAGACTCCTTCACAAGTCTTGAAATTCCCCAAGTGATCCCCACTTCCCCTCGAAGGCCCTCTGCTCCAAAGCGCTTGAGTCGGTAGATGTTTCGGGTCTTCTCCTCGCGCGGCTGCAACGCCGGCAGCATCTGCGCCTGCCGTGCCGAACGGCTCCGGCTGCTCCTGCTCCGCGCCATCGAGGTAAAGAGCTGATCCACGTGAGCGATGACGCAGAAAGCTATGGCGGCCATAGCCGCTGCGCGTCTGCCCATGGCGACCATGGCGAATCTCATGGGTTCTACTGTGTATTGTCGTCTTCGTGCATGTTCTTTCACCTTTGAGGGTGTGCAAAATCACCCAAATCTCATGGATATGATCTATCCACTTGCCAATGGAGCAACAGCAAATAGCTAGGATTCAAAAGACACTGCTGAGATAGCTTATGGGGTAGAGGGGCAATAGAAGTAGACTTTGTCTACCATTGTCAAGCAACAATGAAACATAGTCATTGCTATGCACATTGCATCTAGTTCTCTTCTGTATGTAACATATTCTCTTCTGCGAGCCAGCGTCTACTGGAAACACAGTAAACAGTAAACCCTATAGACTCTGGGAGGTAGTGGGGCCCAAAAAACAAACTGCACGCATTTTGTTCGCGAGTCTCGGCAGCCTTGGAAACTTGAATAGTATACACAAAGTGCATCAAAAGCTCTCTATTCTGCAGCAGCATGACCGCTGCCACCTGACCAGTTGTCATATCCCCCAGCCTCCCATGGTGCAGAACCGCGCTCCTGCATAAAGTCCTCGGGGGCCAAAGCACATCGAGAAATGATATCGTGAGATGATCGTATGTTTATTGGAATCCTTTGATGGATCTAGATCATAACACATCCTGCAAACGTTCAATTCTATCCACCAAGTTGGAATGGAAAATACCCATCGAGAGGTTCAATAGGCCTTACGGTTCTAAGGTGTTGCAGGGCTTATCGAGGGACAAGTGGAGCATGCCTACACATTTGTCCAACACCAACCATCGCAACAAAAGTACTTGTACTCGTAAAAATTGCAAACTGGCATGTGGGAAACATACTTGAAAGACTTAATTTGAGTCTAAACACCAAAAATAAATTTAGCCCCAAAAAGGTCTTTTAACCTCCACGTCTTTGTCAGTCCTAGATTCTGGCCGAAATGTCCTTTCAGTGTCAATGTGTGCAGTCAACTCGATGTGTCACCCCATGTCACATCAAACTCCTGAGTTTCGGACTCTAAACTTCTTGAGGCCAGCGGAAATCATATTGTTTACTTTCTGGTTCTCCTGCAAAGTTGCCACAACCCTCTTGCCAGGTTATGTTTTGTTGGTATGCTAGTATGCCTACACTCTCTTCTCCTAACAGAATATGTTCTACGAACATCAACACTACAACTCGCCTGTATTATAGACAAGCGTATCAAATATCATATATCAAATATCCAAAATCCGTGCTCGTGGCCTGCGTTTTCTTGACAGCTTCCAGAAACTCTTCGCTGACCATGGCATCAAGGCTCAGTTGGAAGCGCTCCATGAGCATCTTGACCTCAAAGTGGATTCGACGGGCTCCACTTCCCAAGACTGGACCAGGATCTTTTAGAGCGTTGCGGAATGATGGTCATGTCTGTGGAGAAACTGAGAATGCGGGTTTAAGACTTTAATTATCCAATCACTGCAATGTGTCAACCCGACCGGATCAATCTCTGACATCAGTGACATGTGAACACCCAATTTCGACAATTCACCTTTTGCATGTAGTTGTCGGCGGACTTGCTAGTCTTTCCAGCCAGCATCGTGGAGTAGAACCTTGGTCCCCAACGGCGGCTGGGATACCAATGTGTAGGATACAATTGAATACCTTGATTTCTTGCTGCCTCAATGGCTGGGTGGCGCAAATCCAACTCACAATCCAACAAATGGCTCTGCTGAATGCAACGGCATTCCTTCATTTAACAGTTTTCAACCTAAACAACTACGTAGCTACGGGCATCCAAGAACCTCGGTGTTTTCCAAACACCTTGGGCTCGTGCGAAGCTAATGCATGCGGGAAATCATCCTGCAAAAACCATTTCAAATTGATTGCAGGTGGGCGTCTGAACTTTGACAAACCAGGATCCAACATCTGGCCGTGAAAAAAATTGACTCGACGGATTGGCAACGAGATAGAGGAATGCAAACATGCAAGGTTTGGTTGCAGCTTACCTGGTAAATGATTGGCTTGTCTTATCTCTTACACCTCTGCTCCGCCCTGTTCCCTATCTCTTGCTTTGATCCCATATTCTACGAACTGATAAGTGTCATACACATCAACGGGGCCTTCTGCTGCTCTGTCGCTTTGGGAAAATGTGCGAAAGCATCCACGTCCTGCTGCTTTGTATACCGAGAGACTCTTTGTAGCTTGAGGTGGGCAACTAGTAACTAGTAACTAGTGCATTGATACACTAAAACGTGTATTCCAGTACTCCAGTCAGTCTTCCAGCACTCCATCTATCCCTCACGCCAAAGATCTTTTGGTAAAGACATGTAAAGACTTGTACTTCACAGACTAACTCAGTTGAATTCACTCCATCAGGGGCCGAAGTGGTTATGCTCTGAACTCTGAGGAAGCCACGCTCAAGCTGCTGCTGCCCTGCTATTGCAAGACTTACGATCGCCATCCGAAAGATCTCACAACAACTTTCATAGCCAGAGACAAAGACTTCTCAAGAGTCGACTGTGGCAAATAAATGCAAATAACATATCCAGTTCCAGATGTGTCCCTGCGATACAATTACAAACACACAACTTCTACGTATAAGTACCTGTGTCTACTTGCACTTGGCACGGGGTAGAGTAATTAACAGTTGCACCATGGCACGTGGCAATCGTTTGACATCATAAATTGACATCAGTATTTGTTGAGGATCTCAGTGCCACACCAAGGACTCAAGGCGCCGCTTTAGCTCCTCATGCGAAAAGTCAATGTTTAAAGCCCGGTTTCCAAAAGAAAAATAACGAAAAAATATATGAACTCTTGAGGGCTTTCTTGTAGTTTCTTCGGACACGCAGTCATTCATGATTGTTCGTCCTCTTAGTCTTAGTCCGACACGTTCTTTCTTGGCACAACGGCAGTTCCAACAAACTGTCAAACTCACAGCATGCAGCGGGCAGCTGACAAATCCATCAAAGCACCAAGGCATCTCCCAGAAACACCATGCGGAAGGCCAAACTTGCTCCTGCTGGCGCTTCTCCTGCACGGGTCGGTTTGACTCGTTTGACACATATCCCCAAAAAGGAACCTGGACAGCCATTCAACCACGTGTCAAAACATGCTGCTGGTTTCAACTATCACGAAAAATAATTGGATACTAAGATGATACAAGAATTGGATACAAGCAGGAAAGCCAAACAAAAAAGACACCGTGACACCAACACCACCGTGTCCGGACGGTGACACCGTCACAGCTTCGCCTGCAATTCTCTCCACTGCTGTCGTGACAGCTTCGCCTTGGTTCGGCGCACCTCCGGCATGGCCTCGGAGCGGCACGGAACGACCCTCCGACGCTGTTCGTGGCTCTTTAGCTGGTCATTCAGAACTTGAAAAACATTTTTGGTCAAAAACATCAACATTGTACCGGTCACCGCCTGGTGCCTGGTTTATGTCACTGGAGGTCCTCAACTGGTCTAGTCACAACTGGGAGGTCACCTACCACTCGTGGCTCGCGAAGTCCGCCGTGGGCCTGGCCGGCGTGGCCTCCAAAAAACAAGGCAAATGCTCCCCGCACCTGCCGAGGCTAAGCCCAAAAACTGCGGGATAGAAGCGTGAGATCATGATCATGTTAGATCCCAAACGCTTTGCAAACAGAATGTCATGATGTCATGTGGATGTCATGTGGATCAGTCTTTCGGTCCAATGGACGCCACTGCTTAAAAGCATCAGGCTTTCTCGCCACTGCTTTCAAGTGCATGAGCCGTGATTTCATGTGACGCCATCAGCAATCAAACCAATGTCTTCTTTTGCACTGGGCACGCGAAGGCACCATGCCGTTGGATTTCAACTTGCGCTACGATGTTCGGTAGCACAAAGGAGATGAGCGCCTTGGGCGCGCCACCCCGCAATCTACATTCTATGCGATTCGGCCACACGGACCAAAGAGCATGCATGCACAAATGTTTGCAGAGGCATTGTCTCAAAGACTGAGGGCGTACATAATGGGAGGATTCATGTCTTGCACATTCTTCTATTTAAACTCAGAATTCACAAATGCATTTTTATGTAAAGCTGACTTCACCACACATGCATCCTCCGGAGTCGATGACCAAAGGCCTGGTGTCCCTCATGTCTTCGAGACGTTCAAGGAGTATCAGGCCTCAGAAGGCGAAGGCAAACCAACAATGTCGGTCTTATCATCTTATCGGCAAGAAGCTACTAGTAACAAGGGCATCGCTACTAGTAGCAAACAGCTACTAGTAGCTTCTTATCTTTGGAATCTTTCGCACCAAGAAACCTTTCAAATCCTGTCAACCAAATCATCTGGATGAAGAGCACTGGGCTCATGGCTCACTTCCCAGCTCCTGCAGAGTAAGATTGTTGATCTGTGTTAGGGATCCTTTTGGTATGGACACTGGTGTCTGTGTGTGTTTTTTGCCAGGTCCACGAGCAACTTCAATATCGTGAGATTCGCTTGCTCAATTCACCACAATTCATAGACGTCTTCAAACACATGATTGCTATACTAAATAGATCTGCAAGAAAAATGAGACACACGAGTAAACGCATCATGACACGTCATTCATCATCCCACATTGTCCCTACCCAGCGATGCTGGTCGTTCCTCCACCTCTTCGACCTCCTCTGGCTCTACCGCCGCTGCCACAGGGATGTCGGGCACCTCTTCCCCACGCATGATCGCCATCTTGGCCTACGATCGGATGGGAGGCGTAAGAAGCATTTACTGAATGTAATGAGGAGATTGCTGCAAGATGCCATCCCCTATTGCGCTATCCACAAAATTAATGACAGGAAACCAACTAGTAACTAGTTACTAGTTGTTGAGCATTTGTCTCACTGTCAGATTCTGTCATGCCATCTCATGGACTCTTTGTAAGTAGCCACTTGTCACATCGCGCTTTTGAGTCATGGCCGCAAGAAAAGGTGGCCAAGTGAGCGAGAACGCCCCAGACCAGTCCTTAAGGTCTGCCACTTTGTCGGATGGCAAAGATGTCATATCCTGCAAAGGAATTCCTCTTTGAGACCAAGCTTCCATAACCTTACAAATATGGGTGGATTCTCATATCCCACAATGATCTGATTCCATTCAAGTCTTTGAGATATCCTTCCACTGCAAACTTGTTCATCAAGTCTCATTTATAGTATAATTGGATAAGCGATTACAAGAACATCGGCCTCTTCCTCCTCCTCTTCGGAGGACTCCTGCCGAACCACACAAGCTGGTAAACCAATCCGTGCACCACCAGCATAAAGGACTATATAGTCTATAGTTACGTATTTATCATGGCAATTCAAAGGTGAGCCTCGACCCCAGGACATTCGCTGTGCAGTGTTGGGGCCACCTCCCTTTTGGTGCCGTGACTCTAGCTGCTTCTTGTCAAGCAAGGATAGCGGTGCTAAAAAACAATCAACTTCTAGGATTTTGGAAAAGAAACAGAACTGCCTAGCGCCTAGCGCTGAAGTATGATAAAGGTGACCTCAACTGTTGAGCTGAACTCTGCGTTTTGGGGCACAGAATGAATGCTGCAGACATGATTGCACTGCCAGCGTTCAATATTACCTTTGAAGACTTGAACCGCCCTTAGCATTGTCTATCGCATGCATAGACCTGAAGCCATGGCCGCGGTGTGGAAATAACGAAATCAACACTGATGATATATACAACTTTTCTTGATACAAATCACCTGGAGACCCAGTTGAGCTTCTTTTGTGACACCAATGTACAAACCAAGGGGAAAAGGGACTGAATAGCAAAAAGAAACACCCTAGTAGTGATGGCCTCCTAACTACTTGCGATGGCCTCCACAAGCAAAAACCCTCTAATGAATAGATATGAATAGGCTCTGTGGAATGGAAGGCCCCACAGTTTGCGCACAAACGGTCACCGACGCTTCTCCCCGCTCCTCTCCCCGCAGTTCCCGGAGACGTGCCTCGGTGAAGGGACGGTGAAATTGCGTTGTACCAGTCTGTGCAATGTTTTTTTCTCAAACGCCTGATATTCCAAGGCAAGAATTTTTGCCGTCCTCAACAGCATCTTTTCAAGGTTAGACAGTCTGGTCTTGGTTGTCAAGGGTGCTTCCAATCATCACAGCTTCCGCCCCAAACCTCTGGTAGCTGCTACTGCCACTGCTTAGCCCCGCCATCCAAGGCAACGGACCTTCAACTGTTCGATCTTCTTGGCATTCAGCTGCTTCCTCTCCTGCAATGCCTGCACATCATGCAAGTGAGAACACTTCCAATGGACTGTTTATAAGGGCTTCGCATGGCTTCGCCCTATGCAACAACGCTCGGCTTAGTATCTCCTTTGTGAAGCAAAGACGTTTCTCCCACCCGTCGCAGTTTCGTGATGCAGGGCCCGCCACACTCACAAAGATCTTCCCCACCTCTGCAGTGACGGCCGAGAGCCCCACGCCACGGAAGCCCAACCTGAAAGAGTGGACGACGACATTGCGGATCGTGGCGTAGGGAATTCATTGAACATGAGGAATCAGCGTGAATCAAATGATGGATGAGGAATGGATGAAGATTCGAGGATCATAGTGACGTTGTTTGATGCTGGGGATTGGCATAGTCTGGCAACAATTTTGACACTTAGGCACCTCTACATGAGTAGACCGAGCAGACTGAGCAAACTCAGATCTCGTCTGCGACCGAGGAACTAGAGCGGATCTCAAGCATACGTCCAAGGGGTGTTGGTTGAGTTCTTCGGGTGGAGGAAAAAACGAACAGCTGCCAAGCTCCAATCTCACTTTTTCTCGAAAGCTGCAACGCAAACTCAGCTCAAGTCGACCTTAGGCTTCCGGCGCGGCCAACAAACATTCAAATCTTGCGGAGAAAGTAAAATCCTGTCAAAGCATCATGAGGTCCTGCATCTGTTTGCCGTGGACTTCCTCTTTGAGGAACAGCTTGCTGCCAGCATGCATCATGTCAAGGTGTCCCATCAAACCAGAACCCTTTGCAGATTTTCCAGAATTTTGAAAATTACAAGATTCTGCACAAGGTTATTTTCAAACCCCCTTCAATAAGGGCACCAGAATCAATGGGAAGGCTTTGCCGTGCCATGACTTCGTGCGAGGCTTGTGTTGAGTTGTGGTGTGGTGGCGTAGTTGTGTGTACACAATGCGATGAGATCTGGATGACGAGATGTGTAGTACTTTGTGATCTGGATGACATGAAGTGAAATGAGATGAAATAGTTGATAGTGTCTAGGGAGTCTAGGTCCAGAATCAAGAAATCATATCGACAAAAACAAGAAATTAGTAGTAACAAGAAACTACTAGGGCTTACTACTAGGAGCAAGGACTAGGTATGCTACTAGGGGCTCCTGGCATCGCTACTAGGAGCATCCTTACTACTAGAGTTGCGACCGAGAGTTGCCGCTCGACCCGACTCTCCGAGTTGCGT